AGTACCATGTACTTGTATGAAAAAACATCCTGTTCTCTTTGTATTGCTTCCTTTTTATTAAATGCCTGGTATTCCTCTGCTTTCCTATTAAAACTGACCACACTAGGCATAAGAGCACAGTGTTGTCAGTGATCTAGCTGTGCTGGGAACTTAGTCTGCTCTCAATGATCAGACTTCTGCTGGCATATACCCCACTTCCTGCACAGCCATTCACTGGGAAGACCAGTGTGCTGAGGTTTATCTGCCCTCAGCTGTCCATGCAGCTGAGAATAGAGGGTATATGACCCCATATAAAAAAGGGGAAAGAAATATTTATAATATGTTTTATATGTATACATACATGTTTTGCTTTTCATTTCTTTTTTAAACTGTATGGGTTGTTTTACAAGGTTAGAGTTTCCATATACTTTAACCCTTTCACTGCAAGAGCCGTTTTTGCATTCTTTTTGCACATTTGCAAAATTCATTTTAGGCCTGAAGCTTACACAAAACCCCCAACATTATATATTTTATGAAAGCAGACACCCTAAAAAAATAAAGCAATGGTAGTTCCATTTTCTTATGCCACACAATATTACCGCAAAGGTCTAAGAAATACAAAATTTCAGTAAAAAACACACTAAAGTGAATTTTAGGGCAAACAAACGCAATAAATTACTAACATTTTTATTCAAATATAAAAGATGAGGTTGCACCGAGTAAATGGATACCTAACATGTCAAACCTTAAATTGTGTGCGCCTGTGAAATGGCACCAAACTTCAGTACCCTATATTTTCTAAAGGCGACGCTTCAAAAGCCCATACAGTTTAGTGTTATGGAGGAGGTCTTGTGCTACAATTATTGCTCTAACTCTCCCATGCGCGGCGAAATGTAACATGTGTATCGCAATCAACGTTTTCACGCATAGGCGCCACTGACATCTGTTTATGTTTGTATGGGCATATATGTGGGGGTGGGGGACCTTAAAAATTCTATAGAGAGGATGTTATCTGCTTGGCTGTAACTTTTTTTTTTTTTGCAATAAACAAAAAACTATTTTTTGCATAGCTTTTTTTTTCATCACATCACATGATTTTTATGTGATATGTTTTCTTTAATGAGACATGCAGGGTCCAAAGACCTGCATGTCTCCTTTGGGCTCCTCTGAATGTATTGCAATGCAGATCGCATTGCAATACATTCCTCCCCGGCTACAATATTGACAGGGTGACCCAGAAGTGATGTCATACATGTCACTTTCTGGGTCAAAGTGAGAAGGGGAGGAGAGCGGACATATGTCCATTCTACTCCATCCTCTCTACCCACCGGTACCCATCATGTCGACCCCAGGGCTCCAGATGGGCAAATGGAGCCTGGAATATATGGTGGGGGCATGCCGAGGGGGCTGTTACCCGGGGTGTGTGGAAGCAATTGGGTGACAGTGCAGCCACCTGACTGCTTTTTTCTGATAGGCAGGAGTCCACTGGTCAGTTTTATACATAATCATGGTGGCTACAGTCACCAGATTGCGTGTAAAACCCCCCTCCACTATCAGATCCGATTCGGTCAGCGAAAGGGTTAAACGGAATGTAAAGTGTATTTCCATTGAGTGCATATTTTGAGTTGGTATTAACATTTTTACCTTCTAGAGAATCTGCGTTTAGTCCATTCAGGGCAAAGCAACAGGTTTGCTTTAGCATATATTTCCTTTCTTTCATTCATCTTTTACTCTCTTCAGTGGAGAAGAGAATATTTGCAGTAATTCCAAGTCACTCACGCTATGTGACAGTACCGGGCTAACCAACACTGTACATGACTGTTATGGGGGAACTGCCAAGATATGGAGTCAACTTTACAGGTAGTGATAGCTTTGAGCACAGACAATCATCACTGAAGGTATTCCAGAGGGGAGGAAGGGAGCCTTAAGGGTTTTGCTATGGGGCCGCATCACACATACTCACAAAATATGAATTTTTAAATCAAGCTTATCTCTTAAACATGTTTATGACAAAGACTATAGATACAAGTTACCTTAAAAGCTCCAGCTTTGCTCGGGATGGCATATAAATGGATATGGCATACACAAAATGAGATTTATGGAACATTTGGTCTATATTTAAAAAGTAGGACAATTTCTGGGGGCAAATCTTCAAAACTCTGATATATCAATGAAAAATTAAAGCACGTTTAAGCATATTTGAAGAATTTTAGAGTCAATTTCTTCTGAGCTAAAAATGTCTTGATTTGGGTAGAATGAACATCCCCAGACTTTTTATCTCTTGGGGACTCTAGAGGTGCGATGTCTCCACCAGAGTTCCTGCCAAGAAGTATCTCTCCTCCCCGAAGGGTCATTATCCGGTCTATACATAGATACATGGGTCTCAACTGCACATCTGTGGTGGGAGTAACTGTTGTGTCAGCTTCTTTTAGTTTTTAGAAACTTTTGGTAACTCTTTTGTCTCTACCCTGCACTCACTGCTCCAACTGTCAATACAATCCTTAAGTCACTTAGCTATTAAGGGGACACACATTGGCCTCTGAATTTCATTCCAGCCTTTTTCAACCTTTTTTTTTTTACCACAGAGGAACTCTTGACATATTTTTTATGTCTTGGGGAACCCTTTCTAAACTCAAATTATTGGTGGTAAGAATGCCCCTTACATTTGTGGTTATTGGGAAGAATGACCTTACATTGATAGTCACTGAGAAGAATCTCCTTTACATTTGTGTTCAATAGGAAGCATGTTCCCTACATTGGTGGTCAGTGGGAAGAATGCTCCCTACATTGGTGGTCAGTGGGAAGATTGCTCCCTACATTGGTTTTCATTGGGAAGAATGCTCCCTACATTGGTGGTCAGTGGGAAAAATGTCCTCTACATTGGAGGCCAGAGGAAGATTGCACCTTACATTGGTGATCAGTGAGAAGAATGCCCCTTACATTCGTGTTCGGCAGGAAGAATGCTCTCTACATTGGTGATCAGTGAGAAGAATGCCCCTTACATTGGTGTTCGGCAGGAAGAATGCTCTCCACATTGGTGATCAGTGGAAAGAATTCCTTTATATCAGTGGTCAGTGGGAAAAATGCCCCTTACATTGGGGTTTAGTGGGAATATGCTCTCTACATTGGTGGTCAGTGGGAAAAATGCTTCCTACGTTCATGGAGAATGGGAAAAATACTCCCTACATTGATGGTCAGTGGGAAGAAAGCCCCTTATATTGGTGTCCAGTGGGAAGAGTGTTCTTACATTAATGGTCAGAGAAGAAAGCTCCCTTTACAGTGGTGGTCAGATTGCTATCCTTACAGGCAGCTATGATTGGTTATGTCTTGCAGTTGGCTTTGCCAAGTGGCATTGACCCCAGAAATATGCAAGCACCATCTGACGGAAGGTCTGACAGAAGGTCTGAAGGTCAAGGAACCCATAGCACCTTCTGCAGAAACCATGGTTGAGAATGGCTGCATATTCTAACCCTCACCACCAGCAATTCACAAACAGTGGCCGCATTGGTTTAGATTAGAACCTGTCTATGCACCTTCTCCTGAGGAAGAGGGAAAGTCTTTTGTCCTGCTGGTGATCCAGCAGGAGAGGAGCATATAATTGCATTGATAGGGATTCAGAGATAAGCAATCAGAAGCAGAGATATCACTGTTAAAGTCCCCAAGGGATAAAAGAAGCTGGGAGTGATTTAATCTCTCAGCATCCACTCTAAACTGAAATTGCAGGATAACTAACATTTAAGAATAAAAGGACTCTACCTGTAAGATGCGCCAGCTTTACATGGTCCACATAGTCTTCCTCTTTGTTCTTCTTGGTCTGCTATTATAGTAGCAAATGGACTGTCAGCTCTCCTGCACCCATGTAGAGGGGAGCACAAGTGCTCCCCAGTGCTGACTGCTGCTGCCACTTGTAGATGTGATGAAGTGATAGTTCTCTGCAGCTGGAAGAGTTCTGTGCCTCCTTTGTCCACACAAGCTGCACTGTCTCTTTATATAATATTCAGTCCAGACAGATGTGAGCACTCCAGTGCTGTGCTGGAGAATGACTCCTAAGGGAAGAGGACTTGTAATTGTTTGCTGGGTATCCAGTACTGTGAAGGCCAATCACTGGACGGATGGAGAGCTGGGAGGGGAACACACACTATTCACACAACAGCAGCCCAGACTGGAGCGGGGGGGGGGGGGAAGTGTCATACGCTGATGCCTGCTACCTATACTACACAGAAGATACCGGGCAACATTCTGGTGATGTTCCAAAACCAGCACAGCAGAGAAAAAGAAAATCACTTCTGCTAGGATAAGTTGAAGTATTATACAAAGAGTGGACAAAATACTAGAAACATAAAAAAAAAATAAATAATTTGATCTCAAATTAATAACTGAATCTCAATGACAAAAGCTGCTGTCATGTTAGGTTAATCACTAATTAGCAATATGTGTCTGCTGTAAAATGGGTGGGTCCAAGCAATGTAAGACAGTGATTCTGAAATTCTAAAGACTAATGTGGTCTTCAGTTTGGAACAATTCATACTTATTGTAATGTGCGTGTGCCAAGAAATGATTAATCTGGGCTTAGAACTATATAATGAACATTTAAGCAAGTATGTATGGTATAGGAATGTATGAAAAGAACAATACAAAAGTTTATGTATAGTTTTTGCAAAATTTGTTTTAGAAATAGATTCATATATATATATATTTTATATATACATACATATTGTGGGAACTAGCACCAAGGGTAGAGCTTTTTAAGCACACTGTCACTCACTTGCTTCTTTTTAAGGGCTGTTTTTTCCCAATTTTATTTAAAAGAAACGTCCACACACATGATAGGTTTCCCACGCAGGGGTATCCATCATCAGTGCAAACAAAAAACATAAATTCAGCCTCCTGGCTCTTTTTAGCAGCACCACTGCTCAGGCTTCATGCCTCAGTCCTCTTGACCATTTATGTGCAACCCACTGCACCTGGGTTATCACCTTTTCTCAGCACTCCTGTTTCTCCATCCCACAGGCTTGGGCTCTGTCTGCTCTCAGACTATGCTGTGCCACCATGCACACCTGTGGCTGCTCCCTTGCACCCACATAGACTCCTCGGGAGGGTGGAGACCAGAACCCTGGTCCCGACTCTAGAAGAGACTCACACACACCTGACCAATCAGTCTCCTGGCCATTCCCAAAACTTGGTCCCAGGATTGGAGATTTCATCCCTCCCAAATCACTTTGAGATCTCCAGGCTCCAGGTCCCAAAATGGACTTTACAAACAAATGAGGAAAGTGAAAAATCACTTTCCTCTGCATCAAACAAGTACCCTGGAGCCCCTTAACCTGCTTTGTTGAGAATCGCAGGTGAAATATCCTTTTTTTATATCATGACAGATCGCCACACTGTCACAATATATATATATATATATATATTTCCAGGCCAAAGGCTCACACGTACATCGCTAGACTTTCAGTGGTTTTTACCAGGATGATGCATCATCCCGGTATTGTTTTTTTGACACTAACAGTCAGCTTTCTTATAAAAGCAATCCAAGCTAATTTCTTTTAAAATGCATCTTTAGGGGATGTCCCCCCTCCTGCCACCTTCCACGGCTCTTTTGGGCTCTCCCGTCCCACCAGTGCATTCACCAGCTGATCATTGAGAGAAACAGAGGCTGAATCGGCTCTGATCGCCTCTATGATACAGGAAACAGGAAGCGATGAGCAGGGGCAGACTGACCATTTGGAAACTCGGACACTGCTTGTTGTCAGACCGCCCCTGGTGTAAATACAATTGCCGATTATCATTTCATATGGGTACAGTGTCTCATGACCACGCAATTGTTATTCAAAGTGCGACAGCGCTGAAAGCTGAAAATTGTCCTGGGCAGGAAGGGGGTATAAAGTGCCGGTAGGCAAGGGGTTCAAATTCAAAAAGGTGTATTCTTTCCAAAAAAAATTGCGTATGAACAGCCACTGTGCAAATACCACGTGACATAAAAAAATCGCAACACCCACCATTTCATGCTTTTCATGGGCATGTTGTAATATAGGGCCTCTGACTTAGAAATATATGTTGTTTGGGGGTTCTGAGGAATTTTCAAGCAAAAAAAAAAAAAAAAAACCCCAAAAAAACTGAATTTTACACATGGTCGAAAAGTGTCAGAAAAGGTTTGGTCTTCAAGTGGATATATACAGTATTTACCTATATCCTTGGGACTTGTTCTTCAGTCCTAAGCCAGTCATACATGGATTGGAATTAAGCCGGTTCAGCAAGGGCTGGCTGAATTTTGATACATTTATGGGCAGTGAGGTTGTACAGAGTCTACCAATTGATTTCTGTTCAGCTGTCCCGTCAGTTTTTCCCAGCCCGATCAGGGCCGCTGGTGCTAGAGAGTGGATTCTGATGGGAGAGAAGTCTCCCTGATTTTAGAATACAATAGCTCAGTGGAGAGGATTCCCCCCATCGAATATGGCCAGTTTTTTTTTTTTTTCATTCAACCATTCAGATGCGTCAAAAAAACGTATCTATAGTCTGCCTTACCTTGTTTTGCCTGCCTCTGTGCTGCCTGGGTACCTATTCACTTACCACCACTTTAAAAATGTCTCTCGCACTGTGCATGCGTGACATGAAGCATATGATGTCATGTTGTATAATAGGGCTCCAGCACAAAATGACATGACATCAGGTGCTTCACCGACAATAGATTTTATAAAATATTGCAGTTTTGGTGCAGGGTTTCCCTGAAGGCCTTCCAAGAGACATCTATGTAATACCATGTGATCTGTTGCAGGCAAATGCACTGCGTTTGTTATGGGTGTCACTAGGAATATATCGACACCCAGTGCGTTTTTAGCTCGGTGTGGGAAATAGACATGGAACATGGCTTTCCCACACCACATTGTGAACGAGCCCTAAAACCAATTTCAAATAAAATATTCTCACATTGTTTTGGCACTTATTCTCAGGGCACATAAGTAAACAGCACAGTTTATATAGTCACTGATGTGTCATTTATGAACAATATTTTACATACCATCACCAGTTACTTCCCAATTAATGTGCATGCGCAAGCGTCTCCCTAGAATGTTATCAAAATTAATACTTGCTTTAATTTTAAAGGAACTGTCCAAAATAAAATACATCTCAGCCCTATGACTTTTATTCATATGTGTACCGTCCAGGGGTGGACTGACCATTTGGAAAACTTGGGCACTGCCCAAGGGCCCGGGGTCAGTAGGGGGCCCCATGAGATGCCCCTGGTACCTTTTTCATAGGCTTTTTTGAGTTTGGGTAAGGACACAGGGGCCCCATGATCCCCTATTGCCCGGGGGCCCCATGAGTTGTCAGCCTGCCCCTGGTACCGTCGTATCTGTAAAAGAGCTAGTTCTTTTTTTTGTCTCAGTGTCAGATGCCTTCTTGTAGGTATTCTACGTTTTTTCGAGTGTAAGCTCTTGTAGGATACAGTTTATTGGTCATATGTTAATTCTGTAATATCCCCGGATTGAAAACACTGAGTTTTATGAACATGGGCATTTGCATGGACAACTCCTACAATCTCCCTCCTCCTCCATCCTACGCTCCCTCACTCACATGTTTAATCTCTCCCTCTCTACTGGCACATTCCCCTCCCCTCTGAAACACACGCACATCACTCCCATACTTAAAAAACCCTCCCTGGATCCCACCGACCTAAACAACCTTAGACTCATCTCCCTGCTGCCATTTTCATCCAAACTACTTGAGCGCTTAGCCTATAATCGCCTAAGCTCTCACCTCACCGACAACAACCTCCTTGAGCCCCTACAATCTGGCTTCTGTCCCCTACACTCCACCGAAACCACCCTACTCAAACTCACCAATGACCTGCTAACCGCCAAAGCCAATGGCCACTACTCAGTGCTACTACTCCTCGACCTCTCTGCGGCTTTTGACACAGTCGACCACCCCCTCCTCCTCAAAAGACTATACTCTTTTGGCCTCAGAGACTCCGCTCTCTCCTGGCTCTCTTCCTATCTATCACAACGCTCCTTCAGTGTTCCCTATAACGCTGCCACCTCCCCCTCACTCCCCCTCTCTGTTGGGGTCCCCCAAGGTTCTGTCCTCGGGCCCCTTCTCTTCTCCATCTACCCCTCCTCCTTGGTCAACTGATACACTCTCACGGCTTCAACTACCATCTCTATGCCGATGACACGCAAATCTATATCTCTACCCCTCACCTCACCCCTTCAGTCTCCGCCCGAATCACTAGCCTTCTGAACGACATATCAGACTGGATGTCACTCCACTTCCTCAAATTAAACCTTGCCAAAACCGAGCTCCTAGTTCTCCCCCCAGCCCGCTCCCCCCCCGACCTCTCCATCACTACCAACAATGCCACCATCAGCCCCACCACGCAAGCCAGAGTACTAGGTGTCATTCTAGACTCCAATCTGTCTTTCCAGCCCCAGATCCAATCGCTGACAAATTCATGCAGACTTCACCTCCGCAACATCTCCAAAATATGTCCGTTCCTAACTCCTGAAACTACAAAGCAACTCATTCACTCCCTTATCATATCACGACTTGGCTACTGTAACTCCCTCCTCGCCAGCCTACCCCAACACAGGCTATCCCCGCTTCAGTCTATCCTGAATTCTGCGGCCAGACTCATCCACCTTACCAACCGCTCCGTATCCGCCACCCCCCTCTGCCAATCCCTCCACTGGCTTCCGATTGCCCAACGCATAAAATTCAAAATACTAACATTGACGTACAAAGCTGTCCATAACACTGCCCCAAACTACATCACCGACCTGATATCCATCTACCACCCAAAACGCACTCTCCACTCCTCACAAGACTTCCTACTCTCAAGTTCCCTGGTCTCATTCTCCCATGCCCGTCTGCAGAACTTCTCCAGGGCTTCCCCCATCCTCTGGAACTCACTACCCCAATCCATCAGACTGTCACCTATCCTCCTCACCTTTAGACACACCCTGAAAACCCATCTTTTCAGAGAAGCCCACCCCGCCCTCACCTAACTGCTGATCTCCTCTGCACTCCCCACCACTCCATCCCCCACAGCTATTTCCTCCTGTACTACTCTCCCCTCCCTCCTAGATTGTAAGCTCCAAGGAGCAGGGCCCTCGAACCCCTCGTGTATTGTATTGTATTTTTACTGTGCTGTCTCATGTATTGTCTCCCATTGTAATGTACAGCGCTGAGCAAACTGTTGGCGCTATATAAATACTGTGTAATAATAATAATAATAATTTGCAGATTTGCGATTAGATGGGATTTGGTATACCTCTGCAGATTCTATCTGGTGTCACAACAATAGATGTGAGTAGACAGAAAAAGTCTGCAGTTACCTGGATAGTAAATACAGACTGTCATAGGAAAGTGTATTCGATCATGCAGAAAATTGCAGGTTTGTGCACTCTGTATCATGATTGAATGCACATTGATTGGACTTGAATGCAGTGTTTATTACGGTCTGTGTTTAGCTTTTTAAGTTGTAAATTTATGGATGAATGTGTACAGGGGTGCATTATATCTGTACATGTGCAATGGACTAAATTGTAGAAAATGAGATATAGATTTCACTTAAACCCACCTACTCTGTGGTGACAATGCACTCCACAAGCAGCAATAAAATCTGCCCTCGGTACAGTGTAGTAAGTCATATGGGGACCTGTATATCTGAGTGCCTGTTTACAACACTATGCGATGTTGTGAACAGGGTCTGGTGCATTTAGTTCAATGCACCTATCAACAACTCAACAAACACACAGCAAATAGCAATTAATAGCAATACACTGCAACAGACATATACAACGCATTGCCGTGTGTTATTGTAATACGCTATATAAAGTGTGTTATATTGCATGTTACATACCTCCCAACTTCCTAGGATGGTAAAGAAGGACACCTTTTAGCACAAAGAATGGAGTCCAAGAACACACCCCTGCCACATCCCTAGTTGTGTGGACCACAAAGGATTAATAAGCAAAAAAAGATGCTTGGCTAAGCGCACAGGTTCTCTGTTCATCATTATGTTTCCTTTATAGTGGTTTTTAAAATAATAACGTGATAATAAAAAGATCTTTGTGAAAGATTTAGTGTAGTATAGCCATTCTCAACCAAGGTGTCATGTAAATTCTAGAGGTTCCTTGAGCTGTGGCTTTTTGAGCTTCCATGTGATGCCTGTATAGATCCCGGTAAAATGACAATTGCCAGAACCAACATCATGACACCAATTATTTTTTTAGCTGTCTGTAAGGGTGGTATTCTGACTACCAATGTATAAAGGACATTCTTCCCACTGATCACCAGGGTAAAGAGAACATTTTTCCCTCTGATAACCAATGTAAGGAGAAAATTCTTTCCACTGATCCTCAAAATAAGGAGGACATTTTTCCCACTTATCACCAATGTAAGGAGGACATTCCTCCCACTAATATTCGGTGTAAGGGGCAGGCTAACCTGAGCACCGAG